ACAGCATCAACAACAGAGACGCCAACAGAGGAGACAACGGAAACAACGCCAGAAATAACAACAGAGACAACAACACTTACAACTACAACATGGACAACAACTACAACCAGTGGTTTATCCAGCGGGGGGGGCACGGGGCTTTTTGCCCCCTCGGAGGATGCTCCTGCCCCCCCGGAATTCAGAAAAATTACGCTTTTTGAGTCTGAAAATCTACGTTTGCCCCCTCAGAAGAGAGATTTTTGCCCCCCCCCCCCGGCAGTTAATTTCGCACCCTCGGACGAAAAAAGCTGGATAAAACACTGACTACAACAGAGACGACATCATCAACAGAAATAACATCCACAACAACATCAACAACTACAGAGACAAGGACAAAAACGACGACAGCAACAAGATCAACAACAACCTCGCGATCCTCGAAAACAACAGGATATTCATCTTCATCAACGACAACTGCAGCAGGACAAGAACCATCACTAACCTCAGCATCACACGCACTATCAACACCAGAGCGAAAAACATCACCAGCATCATCACCACATACACCGACCAGACGAGCAGAAGTAGTACCATCAACAGCAGAAACAAGAACATCGACATCATCAACAACAACAACAAAAGAAACAGAAACAACCGAAACGACAAGAACAACGGCTGAAACTGCTACAACTGCAGGAACAAGGTCAACAACATTGGCAGGAACAACAACAAGAATACCGGCAGAAATAACATCGACAACAACTATTGCGGAAACAACATCAATAATAACCACAACAGAAACCGTAGAAACATCAACGACACCGGGATCAACAACAACCACATCATCTTTATCATTATCATCACCGGTAACAACATCACCACAAAAAACATCACCAATCCCAGCATCAGAGGCGCTATTAACACCGGTACAAGACGCATTGGTAACATCTATACAACAAGGATTATCAACATCACTACCAGAGGCATCATCAACCTCACAACAAGACCTGTCAAAAGTAACGCCGAAGCTTTCAACACGTGCAGCATACGAAGAATCATCTACGTTGGAACAAGATCCATCATCAACATTAACACCGAAGACTACACGACGACCACCAGCAGAAGTATCAGCAACCTCAGAACAGGATCCATCGTTAACATCAACACTGAAGACAACACTACGACCACCAGCAGAAGGATTGTCAAACTCAGAACAAGTTTCATCTTCAACATCAACATCGAAGCCATCAACAAGGGCAGCACACGAAGAACTATCAACCTCAGAACAAGACACAGTATCAACATTAGCAACGTATACGCCGCCGCAACGAAGACAAGATGCAACAACAATCTCATCCGAGCAGACATCATCGAGAGCAACACAAGAACCACTACAAACGCTAGAACCGCTGAGATCATCAATACCATCGCAACAAGTATCGTATGCAACTGCGCAAGAAATACCACCTACATCAACAGCACCGAGATCATCAACATCGACGGCCCAAGAACCAGCAGGATCACCATCAGAGACATCGCCAACATCAGCAACGCTTAGATCGTCAACATCGACGTCACGAATATCACCAGCATCAGAATCCGAAATATCATCAACCCCTGCACCGGCGAGATCATCAAGATCGACGTCAGCAATATCAGCATCAGAAATATCACCAACATCAGCACCGCTGAGATCATCAACATCATCGGAACAAGATCCATCAGCAGTAGCACAAGAACAATCGCCAACATCATCACCTGCAAGATCGTCAGCATGGACGTCACCAGGATCATCAGGGTCAGCAGCTGGAGAAATATCGCGAACGTCAGTCCCGTATATATCATCAACTTCGGACCCGCAGCCATCAGTAACATCTGCACAACAAGAATCATCAATATCGGTGCAAGAGACGTCATTAACATCAGTCCTGCAAGTAGCATCAACGTCAGCGCAACAAGCATCACCAACATCAGCAACCTTAGCAAAAGAAGCATCATCGACATTAGTACAAGGGATATCGGCAACATCAACACCGCTAAGGTCATCGACATCATCACAACAAACACCATCAGAAACAGAGCAAGAAATAGCACCAACAACAGCACCGGTGAGGTCATGGACATCATCAAATCAAACACCATCAGGAACGGGGCAAGAAATGGCACCAACGCCAGCATCCCTGAACTCATTAACGGAACAAACAGCAGTAGCAACAGGACTCGAAATATGGCCAACATCAACACCACTAAGATCAGCTGCATCAACGTCATCAGAAACATCTGCAATAGCTGGAGCAATATCGGTAACACCAACACCGCTGAGATTGTCAACGTCATCAGGACTATCAGAGTCAGCAGCTGGAGAAATATCGCCAACATCAACACTGCTAAGATCATCTACATCATCGCAACAAGCATCATCAGCAGCAGAGCAAAAAATATCACCAACATCAGCGCGAAACGTATCATCCACATCAGTCCCGCGGACGTCACCGGCATCAGCCTCGCAGACATCGTTAACATCAGCTGAACAAGCATCAGTATCATCAGCACAAGATACATCACCTGGATCAGCGCTAGAGACATCGTCAGCGTCAGAAATAGCACGCCCGCAGACATTATTAACACAAGACTCATTACCAACATCAGTCTTGAAGAGATCATCAACATCAGCCTCGCAAATATCATCAACATTAGCACAGTCTGGATCACGAACACCAGAGGAACATATATCATCAACATTTGTTCAACAAGCATCACCAACATCAGCCGCACAGGTATCATCAACATCAGCGCCACAGACACCATTAACACCAATACAACAAGCATTAGCAACGTCAGCACAAGAAGCAGTACCGCAACAAGTCTCGCGAACATCGGCATCACGGACATCATCAACATCAACACAAAAATCACCCTCGTTATCACTAGAAGAAGTATCACCAACACGGTCGCCACAGCCAAGATCGACTTCCGCACCCTCACAACAAACACCGTCAGTGTCAGAAATCTCACTAACACCATCACTACCATCAGCAGCAATACTCAACGTGTCATCAACACCAACAGCATCGGTAACAGAAATATCACCAATATCAGGTCATTCACAACCGCAACCTTCACCAATAAAACCACATATGTCATCAACCTCACCACCATCACAACAAGCACCATCAGCATCCGTATCGGACATATCGCCAACATCAACATCGCTAACATTTGCAACGCTGGAAGCATCATCTTCATCAGGACAAGAAATATCGGCAACATCAACACCACTAAGATCATCCATGCTGGAAGCATCATTTGCACCTGGAGAAGAAATATCGGTAAGATCAACACCGCTGAAAACATCAACAATAACGCATGAAGCATCATCAGCATCACGAGAAGAAGTATCATCAACGTCAGCAACGGTGAGATCATCAACATCGACAGCCCAAGAACCATCAGCATCAGCATCAGAAATATCATCAACATCAGCAAAGGTAACAGCACGAACATCAACATCGAACGGTGCGGCCAGACCAACAAAAGAATCATCACAGACCTCAGCACAAGACACATCATCTACAATAGTACCACATAGACCACCACAACAAATAGAACATCCGTCGTCAATCTCAACCTCGCAGACAACCTCGAGAGCATCACAAGAACCACCACAAACATCAGCACGGCTGAGATCATCAACATCATCGCAAGGAGATTCATCAGTAGTAGGACAAGAAACAGCGCCAACATTCGGTTTGCAAATATCATCAGCATCTACAGAACAAACATCATCAACACCGGATCCGCTAAGGTCATCAACATCAGCACAACACGCATCATTAACATTAGTGCAAAAAACATCACCGACATCAGCTTCGGAGAGATCACCAACATCTGCACAATACGAATCAGCAACAACCGCGCAAGAAACATCATCAACGTCAGTTCCGCACAGATCATCAGCATCTACAAAACACGCATCGTCAACATCAGTGCGAGGAACATCATCAACACCAGCCTCACAGCCATCAGCTCATAAAACATCACCAACATCAACCCCGCAAATATCATCAACGTCAGCACAGGAAGCATCGTTAAACTCAGCGCAAGAAACGCCACCAACATCGACGCCGCGTACATCTTCATCATCAGGATCACGTACATCATCAATGTTAGCACAACAAACGTCACCAGCATCAGCACAACAAGCGCCATCAATATCAAGGCAGGAGACGACATCAAAAGCAATACTACAGGCATCCCCAGGACCGGCACAACAAACATCAACTATGATAAAGACGAGAAGCAACGGTATGTATAACTATTTTCTATTGATTTGACTACTGAGTTATATTTTTAGATGGTAGTTCACCAAATTATCTGTCCAGACTTACGTCCATCGCTAGTACGTTACATGTTGTAAAGGAAAAAGGTTTGTAATACCATTACGATTTTCAAATGTTCTCCGAATGCATAATAGGTTTTTACAAATTATCTGAGTAAAACTGATACTAAGGGTTAAACATCTACTTCGTGTTTAAAAGCTTCATAGTTTCAAAGAAAGATTAATTTGAAATATGTTGATTTTATGGACGAATAGAAGTTTTAATTGCTTGCTTTCAATACTTGACAAGAGATCAATTTCAATGGAACTTTTAATATCCTTAGGTCTATCGTATACGTTCGTTGTATATTTCATTTGTCTATTTTGTTGAAGTATCTAATTCTGTACTAAAATTTATACGAATGTTTTCTTTTAGAAACAATTTCAACTATTACTTTATCAAGTAAACATTCTTCAATGTAATTAATATTTTCATAAAGAAATATTGTTTTTATCTTAATAGATATAACTTCGTTCATAACATTTACTTCATCAACAACAAAAGTTAGACCTGAATTACAATATCTAAGTGAGATTATTTTAAAACATTAACTCTACTACTTTGTCATTTTTTAACTTTAGTGAATGGTTCATCATTGGTTTTCGTTCCAGAACCCTGCACTGATTCGACGTTTATTGGTCTCAGTTGCAATATCTCAAATACTCCATGTAAGATGATAACTCCATGTGAAAATCATGGTACATGTACAGACAATGAAATGGCAACTTATGGATATATTTGCTCATGTCTATCGGGTTTCAATGGCACTCATTGTGAACTTGATCAGCGAATTTGTAAACCACATTTATGTTTACATAATGGTATGTATTATTTGCACTATTCTTCCATTATAAAAAAATTATTTTCCTTTATAGGTACGTGTAATGAAACATCGAACACAACATTTCATTGTGTATGTAAAAATGGTTGGGAGGGTGCTCATTGTGAATCAATGGTTAATTATTGCAAAGGTGTAGTATGTAAGAATAAAGGGATTTGTCGACCATTATTATTGGGTTATAAATGTGAATGTCTTGGTACGAGTTATTATGGTTCTCATTGTGAGTTTACTGCAAGAAAAACTGTTATCCATAAAATAATTTCAAAATCATTTGCTTATATTGCAATTACTGCTATGGCAATTGTTGCAATGTTTGTTGTAATAATGGATATATTAAAATATTGTTTTGGTATTGATATGACACATGAAGAGTTAGAACGATATCGACGAGAAAAACGAGCAAATAAACTAAATGGTCCTGTCGATAAGCAAGTGGTCCATGCGAATATATCATAATAAATACTGCAAGAAATAACATTATCTTAAGAGAAATCTCTGTTTGTGTTGTACTTCAACTAATATGCTTTGGTATCGACATGTAAAGCTATGTTGTCCGTCGTAAATTCAGAAAAAAATAAAAGTATTATATTTAACACATCGAACATATATCTGTTTGTAGCATAGATCTGTATCTAATTATATTTTATTATGTGAACCAACAGTTTCCAATCTGTTTCAACAGATATAGTTCAGCGGAATCAATTATATATTAATTAATGTTATAGAATGAGCTCTTTTGAAAGAAATTCATTATAAGGTATAATTGGCAGGACAACAATCAAGTAGTTTTCTACTATATGTATTTTTATAGGTACATAGGCATTGGTTTTGTAAGAATGTAATGTTCAAAGAGTGCAGGTAAGACAACTTGCACTTTGTCGATGAAGCGACGTTAGAATCATTGATCTCTTCTCACAGCTGTTTTATATACGGTTAATCATTACACTTCATCGTTACGATTATTTCATTAATTTATGAAATAATTTAAAATAAAAGTATTGGTGACGAGCATTCGAGCTTCGAATGATAGTTTTTCATCAATGTATATTCCCATATATTTAAAAAGAGATGTATATTTGACAGGATGTTGATAAAGAATGAGAGTATACATCCATAGTGAGTTCAAATAAATAAAATACTAATAAAGACATAGGATTTTATAAAATCCTATGTACAAATCATAAATAAAAAACATGCTCCCTCATTATTTTAATTTGTTATAAGATGGAAAAAATAATCCAATAAAATGATTATATCTTGAAATGGTGTCAGCGAACATTCTGTTAAAATTTTTCAAATAAAAATTATATTACGGTTGATTTGGTAGAAATAATCTGAAAAAAACAACATCGGTCATTACGTGTGTTTTTTTTTACTTGAATACCTTAATTTACATCATATCTAAATAAAGATAAATGACTCATCATCTACATCGTATATTTAAGCCGATGGTGTGTCTCATTATGTTGCGTATCGATCGGTTTAGTTTTTTTTCTTTTCGTCTTGTCTACAGAACGAAACATATCCATTTGGTTACACGTGTCTGATTAATGTGATACTTTAATTATAAAAATCATCAATATACAATGGCAAGAAAAAGTGTTGCTATCATTGGAGCAGGTGTTTCAGGACTTGCAGCTGGAAAAGTTCTTTTAGAAGATGGTTTTGATATTACTATATTTGATCGACATAAAACATTAGGTGGTATTTGGTCTCCAGATTGGGCGTATGTTCATCAACATACTCAAACAATAGCAAATTTAATGGAATTTTCTAATCTACATGATACAGAAGGTAAAATATATATTATTATAATAAATAATGTTTTTATATATTCTCGATTTGTATATTATAGCTATGGATTGTGCTCCATGGGAAAATATTCATAATTATCTAAAACGATATGCTGATAAATTTCATCTTATTGAACGAATTCGATTTGAAACAAAAATTATATTAATTGATAAAAATGATTTAAAAAATGGGAATCTTCCTTGGATTGTTAAAATTGAAACAGCTAGTGGTGATCATGAAACATTACAATTCGATTTAGTTGTTGTAGCTACTGGTCTTTTTTCTACACCAGAAGAGCCAAATTTTCGTGGTCAAAATAACTTCGC